TCCACCTCAAATGTTGCAGAAACCGCTTTCAAAAATTGTATGCACACACATTCTACTTTGTGTATAACTTATGGTTGAGATCCATACGTTGTCATAATTAGGACAGCTCAACTGAAACCAATCCTTCAGTCAGAAATTCCAGTGATTTTTGTGGGCCCCCTCTAAACACAGCTGAGTACAGGTCCTATCTATGGCCTTTTACTTTGTCTAACAACTTTTGTGTCTGTGTATATGTAAATATCCAAAGGAAAACTAAGAGCTTTTGCCAATTCTTTGGAGCAGGAGAGAAGCAGAAAAAGAACAGCCCACTCTCTTTTTGAGGTTTTGACATGTCAAATTAATTTGCTGCTGCTTGATCCAATCAAGACAAATTACTGTTGTAGTTTGTGTATTGTTACCTCTGTAGACCCCAAAATAGGGTCACATGTTTGGTTCTCTCTAGGGTTATCTGAGCAACAATTTTTCAGAAACAGCAGCTCTAAACTGCATTTGTGCTCTATGCAGCAACGGACACTCATGTGCCGTCCATTACGGGGCTCTTAGCAGCCCACCAAAAAGCAAGGATGAACAGAAGTTTGTTGTTGTCTTCCAAAGGCAGGCTAAATGGAGAGGAACCCCCTCCCACCCACCTTTGATTGGGACCAGTTCACTTAAGGGGTGCTCTGGGACGGATTCTCTCAGGCTTGCAAAAGGTTATAGATATAATCCCTGGCTCCTCTTAGTGGAGGTAGGCAAGACCTGAGCCAGAAAAAAATGGATATGCTGCTTCTGTATAGGCCAACGGCCTCCGCTATTTAAAAAGAGGGGAGTCATTTTGACTGTAGGTATGTTCACGCACCAAGGCATGGCTGCATAACAGGCTCTGCTCTCCTCCCCAGCCCTGTTGCTGTGCATTTTCTGGTCCTCCTGGGTGCTGGATTTAGCTGAAAGTCCTTTCAGGTCCTCCTCACCTTGGGTATCAACCAAAGAAGGCCCTACTAACCCACAATCAAGCAGGCAAATTCTGACAACCTTGAGTTGAAATTGAACTTCTCACCTCTGAGTGATCTGCTTTGGCCAATGCTGTGACATCTCCTGGGAAAGGAGTCCAATACCGCCTGACCTCTTTTGTTCCATTTCCCCTACAGCCTGGGTGCCTGAGTGGTGTCATTGCAGCTACTCAACATTGCTCTTTACTTCTCCCCCACCGCAGCTGACTGGCCAATTGCTCCTGCATCCCTCAAGACATCTGTCTCCTTACTTCCTTTAGAACCAGGTAAGGCTAGAGAATGAGAGCAGCTACTGCAAAAGCAGAGGATAAGCTGAGCAACCACACTTGAAATGATTCAGTCTCTTTGGCAGGCCTTGAAGTGGAGAACGCTGCTGTAGCCCATTCCAAGTGGAAAGATCCAAAGGAACAAACATATATGCTCGTTGTATTCTCGAAGGCTTTCACGAGTGGGATCCAATTGTTGCAGGTTTTTCGGGCCACTTGAAACAGCCTGAACAACTACAACCCCCATTTATGCTCCTTCTTTAGGTTCTGCCTCCAAGATCCAAAGTAAGGCATTAACTTCTGACAGAAGAAATTCTCCTCTTCAAACATCACCAGGGTCTTCTGTTCTGACTCAAAAGTCAGAGGGCTCCACATTTCAGCACAACAGATTTAGAGATGTAGCACACCTTTCCTGAATACTATACTCCTCACACCCCTTTTCTGGCAGTGCTACACGCTTTATAAAAGCTTTTAGAATAAAGATAAATCAATATGTAGATTAAGTCCCTGTACATATATATAGTCTACTGGCCAGGGCCCCAGGGGAGCTGCATCCCCTACCTCCCAAAAAAAGCACTGAGCTAAAAGGAAGGCCTATCTTGAACATCCCTCAAGTCAGAGAAAGGGCTGCTCCTCCTATACCTTGCTTTCAGTTTCTTTCCAGACAGACAAACACCAAGCTTCACTTCAGAGAACCCTCAAGTCAGAGAAAGGGCTGCTCCTCCAATACCTTGCTTTCAGTTTCTTTCCAGACGGACAAACTTCAGAGAACAGGAGGGCCCCCAAATGCAAATATGGCAGGGATAACACAGTGAAGCAGGATAGTACACAGGATCATCTCAGGAGCACCCATTCTCGTCAGATCGTAACTCAAGAAACTAATGTACAGTGGTGCCCCGCTAGACGATGCTAATTCATTTCACTAAAATCTCCGTTTAGTGAAAACATCGTCTAGAGAAAAGCCTTCCTAATGTACAGTGGTGCCCCGCTAGACGATTTTAATTCATTCCACTGAAATCTCCGTTTAGTGAAAACATCTCCGTTTAGTGAAAGTCTAGAGAAAAGCCTTCCCCCGTTGGAATGCATTGAAACCCATTTAATGCGTTCCAATGGGGAAAATACCGCGTCGTCCTGCGAAGATCACCCATAGGGAAGCCACTTTGAGAACCGCCAATCAGCTGTTCTATATTGCTGTCTTGCGAAAAACGGGCCCGAAAACACCCGTTTTGCGACGATCGCCCCTAGGGAAGCCATTTTGTGAACCACCGATCAGCTGTTGTAAATCGTTGTACTGTTTTAAATCGTCGTATTGCGAAAAAACGGTCCGCGAAACACGGACCAAATAGTCATCCAGGGAAATTCCCCCATAGGAATCACTGTTTCGCAAAGCAAAATGGTGGTCGCAAAACATCATCATCATGCGGATTTGTTTTGAGGGGTAATCATCTTGCGAGGTACCACTGTAACCTAATGGTACAATTGCTTCCTGCTTTTGTACTGCACTGATTCCATTGTAAGCCTGTAGGCTGGGATAGCCTTACATTTCAAGAACTGTACAGTTAGAAATGTTACTACACTTTGTAAGTGTTCAATAATGATGACACAAAATGAGGCCATCTAGTGGACTGTATTATTTCAGAGAAAAAGAGTGAATCTATTGTTAAAAAGAGGTTTCTTTGCTTAAAGCAGTGGTGAGCAATGCATGCTAAAATTATTGTTGTGATGCAACTCCTATCAGTCCTAGACACCCTAGCCAATGTTGAAACACCAGGGGAATTGCGGTCCAGCAACATGTGAGGGGGGGCACATGTACCCATTCCGTTTGACTTCCAAGACTCCTCAGATAAAAATCTTGCTGTTTATTAATAATAATATCCTCTGAACTGCAGAGCTGAAAGGGGACCCGACGGATCATCGAGTCCAGCCCCTCTCAAGGAGGCACAGTGGGGAATTGAACTCCCAACCTCTGGCTCCACTGAGCTATCCAGCAGTTTATCTGCTTGCAGACAGTTCATTAACATGAACCATCAAGACTAGAGAGGAATTGAACTCCCAACCTCTGGCTCCGCTGAGCTATCCAGCAGTTTATCTGCCTGCAGACAGTTCATTAACATAGGGAAACCATGAAGACTAGACTNAATAATATAATAATAATAGAAAAGGACAAGAACATGGTGGTACCTTAAAGCCTGGACAAGTCCACTTTCCGCAGATTTGAAAGAGATATAACGTGACAAATATTTATATATGGCACCAAAATACAGAGATTGTGGTTGGTTAGTAAGAAAGTCAGTGGGTGTTTAATATTTGGGTAACTGCATCTCAGATATGCAAGTATTTTATTGTAATAATAATAGAAAAGGACAAGAACATGGTGGTACCTTAAAGCCTGGACAAGTCCACTTTCCGCAGATTTGAAAGAGATATAACGTGACAAATATTTATATATGGCACCAAAATACAGAGATTGTGGTTGGTTAGTAAGAAAGTCAGTGGGTGTTTAATATTTGGGTAACTGCATCTCAGATATGCAAGTATTTTATTGAAACTTATGGATGTGAGAACCTCTGACATGGAATAACAATGGTAGATTAACATGGATATTAATTATATTGAGAAGCCTGGCTTTTTACAGTTGTTAATGAACCTTCCTGTATAGCCTTTGTAAAGCAGTTACAACGTGTATGAATTAATTAATTAATGATGTGTTAATTAACATCCATGTTAGTCTACCATTGTTATTCCATGTCAGATCCTTTACAGCAAACTTCAATGAAATACCTGCATATCAAATATGTGATTACCGAATGTTAAACAACCACTGACTTTCTTACTAACCAACTATGATCTCTGTATTTTGATCTCTGTATTCTGGTGCAATATATAAATATTTGCCAGGTTACATCTCTTTTTTTATGCCTTAGGAAGTGGAACTGTCCACGAATACTCACATTAAAAAACAACAGTTAGTCTTTAAGGTGCCATGACATTTGTCTTTTTTATTTGGTCTTTTATTCTTAATTTTTATTTTGTTTGTACTTATAATGCTTGCACAGACTAACACAGCTACCTCCTCTACAACTATCAGGATTATGTAACCTACTTCTGCAGCACATGGAGAGGAAAGCAAAGGACAATGAAGGATTAGAAAAACTGACAAAAAGAAGGCAGTCAAGAAGCTAGAGTCTTGTGCAGCAAACAAAACAGAGAATAACCTTTTATGGCCATAGAATCTCTTTATTCAAACAAAAGACACACATACACACGCACGCACACACACAAGGAAGAAGGGGGAAAACTGACATGGCATGACACAGACAACATGAAAGGCCACTTCCGTCCTTTGTGGTTTAAGAGCTTCAAGAAATATTGCCACTTATATTGGGGGAAGGGGTTGGGAGAGATAGGAGGAAGTATAAATCTACTGGACCATCTGCAAGTAAAGAGGCAGGGTGGGAAGTATAAATCTACTGGACCATCTGCAAGAGGCAGGGTGAAGGGGAGGGATGCTTAGTGCTTATGTGAGAATATTCCTCACGATGACTGCTCTTCCTACCACCCTTGATGCTTCAAGACTGAATGCCACAAACCCTGGTATTAGATCTTGCCACCCCCTTTCTCTCCTCCTTCCCCATACTGAGACCCACAGGCACTGGTATTCCCTACCACTGGAATTTTCAAAGTATTCTCAGACAAACCTTTGAAACACTCTTGTTCAGATGCTGTATGAGGCAAGGATGAGGCAGTGATTCCACATGTTTTTAATAAAACACCGTAAATGGAGCTATAGAAAGTCCAAAAATACCAATAGCTTGTTGGGCTGGTAGGTCAGAAAGAGGAAAAAGCCCTAATTCAAGGAGCATTGGTGGAGAAATCTCTTCAGCTCTGGTGGGAAACAAACAGTAAGGATGGGAGAATGAAAACTCTTTGGCCTTCAAGGGATCTCTTCAGAGGAAATGATGTAGAGAAGGAAGGCTGCATGTTCAAGTGCCTCAGACAAGGACAATTTTGCATGAAAAATTGAAATGGGGCTAAGATCTGTTAGGAGGAGGCTGCAGAGTGTGATTTTTTCAAGAAATCAAAAAACAACACTCACACACCCTAAGTAGCTCTAGCAATCACAGGAGAAGGAGAGACAATGGAAAATTACTAAGTTACATTTCCAGGATATACTGCAGACAGCTACAAGGAATTCTGCCATTTTCTGGAACACAGTTCCTCAAAAGTGAAAGCCCTCCTGTTTCAGATACCACTTAAAGGGAAACAATCTGTTTTTGGATCCCGTGCTTAGGATATGTTTACAGAGACAAGGTACTTGCTATCATAAGAACAATGAGTGAGCAGGCCAAATATCAGACACCAAAACCTTTCTGTTAAAAGTGCAGCTTGCGTGTCTCAACAGCAATACTGGAAGTGTGTGGCAAGCTAGTTAATGGACAATGGTGCAGCAGAAATATAAAGTCCATAACTCACTGCCATCCATGTGAGAAATTGCTGGACTTTTCCAAATTGCAGGTGCATGATTGGAGCAAAGAGTCATGTCCAAGACCAACTTGCATCTATACTATTTGGAGAAATAGCCTTTTCTCTTCTCTGGATGTGCTTCTAAGATCTATCAATCACAGGAGGAAAGATGCAATGACAGACTACTGTGCTTCCCCCAGGCCATCTGCACCCACACAATGCCACTTGTGCATGATTTGTGTACCTTTAAGAGATTTCCCCCTCCAACACGCACACACACACAAAAACAGAAAAAAAAATAGGTGGGGAGGTTGAACCCAGTGGGAAGAGAATGGGATGAAGTGAAGATTATATCCTAGTGAGTATGAAAATTAAGAGGCAGGGAGAATCAGAATTATTAGGTTTTAGAAACATCAATTCAGATTTCACATGGGCGCACATTCAAAACACTAAAAATCCTTATTAAATTGACTGTGGAGCTTGAAAAGATTCCTTGTTGAACAACAAATCCTAGATGCCCCCAGCCAGCACGGCCACTGGCCTTCTCCCTGCCAAAGGCAGAGGGATTCTGGGAGCTGTGGACCAAGAAAGGATCTTTCTCAGGATCTGGACAGGTTGAAAACCCTCAAGCAATGGGGCACGCCCAAGGGGTTGGAGGAAGCATTTGTTTTCATTCAGGACCCCAGAAAAGCTTGTTCTGCTTTCTTCCCCCAAACATCCACTGATCTCTTGGAGATTAACTTCAAATGAGTTAAGTGGGGCTAAAGCACATAGATCCTAAGTCACAAAAACTTCATCCGAAATAGACATTTGGGAAAGGAAATTTCATACGAGCCCTCCCCCAACCAATTACCAAATTCTTCACTGCTCTCTTAAGCCTGAGGTAGAAGACCTCATCAAAGTCGCTTATGACTTCGTGAAGCAAACCCCCAATCCTTCTTGCTCTGTGATGCATAGCTATGAATATCACCTGTCTCCCTGGGGACAAATTTAGAGAAGCAGATGATGCAGGGGCCAGAAGGGCGAAAAAGGAAAGGGTGGCAGATTGTGCTTGCAGGTGGGCCACTTGCATTTGAGGAAGAGAGGGAGGGATCATTGCTCAACTGTTTGCCTCGCTGCCTCACTCACTGTTATCTCATCAGAAGACCTCTAGTACAATTCAAGTGTCAATTTTAATTGCACCAAAATTGACAGGTTTGCTCAGTGCAGCAGTGTGTATGTACGCATTTGTGGAGGTGGGGGAGGCAAAGGAGACCTTGTGCCAAAGGAGAGAGGTTGCCACCATCTTCTTGGGGGATGCTGCTGCTGGGATTCGCCACCCAACGGGCCACAAGGAAGAAGATTCTTTTGCCCTTGGGCACACGTCTCTTTCTTTTGCAGGTGCTTGTTGGTACCAGGTCCTGAATTCTTCAGAGAGGGCTCGGGGTGGGATAGGGAGAGAGGCTGGACCTTGCCGTTGCCTCTTGCTGCTTTCTTCTTCACCCCCCCAACCTGCCCACAGGGATGAAGGCACCGAAAGGACTGGGGACAGTCCCTGGCAAAATGGACTTGCAGCTGTGGTCCTTTCCCAGTGACGAGACCCACTGAGAAGTTTTATCTGGAGAGAAAGAAAAAGAACACTGACTGATTTTACTATCACTTACATATACCATGTTCAAGAGGGTATCTGGGTATGCCACATATGTAGAGGAATGGGTACTGCATAATGTGAAAGTTCTGTATCATAATGTAGAAGTTTAAAATGTCTTTGAGGGAGTAAAAAAACCCACAAAATTCTGATCATTATGGCTCTGGAGGATATATATTTTTTAAGTTACCATAGCACCTCTTTAATGCAGGGAGCTACAAATAAAAGACCGGTGCAAATATACTGAGAAAATAAAAGGAATTAAATGACATGGGATGGAAGAGAAAAAGAGACAGGGCTGTGCACCTGCTGAACAAAATCAAGATTCTGTAGAAAGAAAAGTCTCATCTGTATAAATGAGGCAGATAGAAGCAAATTTGCATATACTGCCCAAAGAATTTCACTTTTTAAATAAAAGATGAAAAGAAAAGAGTTATGCAGGGTATGGAAGCCCCATCCTGGCTACTCAAAATCATAGTGAACTACCAAATCCTGTTATAGGCTAGAAATGTGGGTCTTAAAGAAAACTGTAAGAAATCAAGATGTATTCAACACTGAAATTTTAAAAATACCACACTATTTTCTGACCCAGGGATTCCCAAAAATTGACACACAGATCCTGCTAACGTGCTTCCTACATCTCTTTAGAGATATGCAGACAGAAGACAGCCAGCCCCAATGATGCCTGTTGGATTCTGCCATTCCACCCCTTATTTATCCCCAACATTTAGAGTTATGCTACTCACGTTTTAAATATTTAGGAATATGGGTAACAAAAAACCTTAATTAATTTACATAAACTATAAAGATCTATTTAAACTGGCAAAAGAAAAAAAATGACAAAGTGGATCAATTTGAACCTATCAATGTTGGGAAGAATTGCTCTAAATAATCATATACATTACCAAAATATTCCACTACAGCCGGATACAAAAAAAGTAAAGCTAAGGCAAGGAAAATTAGAAAAATTCATTGCAGGAAAGGGAAAGCAGATAAGGTTTATAAATACTATTAAATATACAGTCAACCCTCGACTTACGAACGGTCCTACATATGGACTTTTAGATTTATGAACAGCTCCGTTGGCAAAAACTGACATCGACTTGCGAACGGAGCTCAACCTACGAACAAGGTCGAGGCTCCGTTTGCAAGTCAATGCCATTTTTTGCCAACGGAGCCATTCGTAAATGGCTCTCTGCAAAAAGGCAGGGAGAAAGGGCTGAAAATTTGAATTTCCTGCCCTTTCTCCCTGCCTTTTTGCCTTTGGAGCTCTCAAAGGGCTTTCTCTGATGTTGGGGGGAAAGCCCTTTGAGAGCTCCGAAGCCGCCAATCACGGCAGCAGAGACCCCCAGGGAGGTCTCCCAGGGCTTGCCGCCACCATGGAAAACCTCCCTAGGGGTCCCTGACGCCGTGATCTGCACCTTCGGAGCTCTCAAGGGGCATCCTCCGATGTCGGGAGGAAAGCCCTCTGAGAGCTCCGAAGGCAAAAAGGCAGGGAGAAAGGGCTGGAAATTTGAATTTCCCGCCCTTTCTCCCTGCCTTTTTGGCTTCGGAGCTTTCAAAGGGCTTTCCTCTGATCTCGTGGTTTAGAAAACAATATCCATATAAATCTATATCAGCAAATGTGAAAGAAATGGTTCTGAAGGTAGTGCATTGTTGGCATTTATATCCTACAAAGTTACACAGAATTAATAGAGATATATCAGATAAATGCTGGAGGAACTATGGACAAAAAGGATCTTTGGAACACATGTGGATTTCTAGCCCAAAAATAGAAGCATTTTGGTGTGAAATAATTAGATGGATAGAGACACTGACCAATCAAAAAAATAGACATGAATTAAACATTATTGTTATTTTCAATATTTACGGGGTGATATGAGAAACTTGAAAATAAAGAATTAGTAGCAAATCTTATAGGCACAGCAAGATCTGAGATCACTAGAATTTGGAAAAATGCCCAAGATCTCTCATTGCACGCATTTACAAATAAGATATGGCATACAATGTTGATGGAAAAAATGACTAATAAAAGTAAATTATATAGAGGAGAAATAAGGCATAGGCAATTCACCGAAAGCTGGAAGCCTTTATTAAAATATGCCAATAGAATAAATGTCAAGACACGTGGTTTAGAAAACAATTTGGAGTATTTGGATTGTTGGTCAATATTTCTTTAAGATGAAATGGGGAATGGTGTTAATGTGACTTCGTGAAATGTGGGAAATAGCAGGTGGTCAACAGTTAAATTACATAATAAGATGATAGATTACTATGTTAAGCCTTGTATTTATTACTTGTAACATGATGGATTGTCATGATATACAGTGGACCCTCGACTTACGGAATTAATCCGTATTGGAACGGTGGATGCAGGTCAAAAAGTCTGTAGGTTGAGACTCCATTGACCTACAATGCATTGAAAACTGATTAATCCGTAACTGGCCGTTTTTGTTCCATTTTGGTTTTTCCCTGGTCTGTAGGTCGATTCTCCAGCTAAATTTTGTGGCCAGAGAAGTCTGTAACTCGAAAAGTCTGTAAGTTGAGGGTCCACTATATAAGAAATACTTTAAAAAAAAATCTCCAACATCTCACCTGGCCGTCGGCTGCTGCTGCTGCTGCTCTTTCTGTGGGGAGCTGGGCTCAGACTGTGGAGCCTCTGTTGTTCCCTCTAGTGGATGGGCGGAATCAGAGGTAGATGGGGAAGGTTCTACTGTGCTGTTGAGCAAAACAGAGAGGAGATGAAGACATGGAATTAGTTATGCAGCAGAAACATTCAGCTTCTCCCCCTCTGTCCCAAGCCATGCCACACAAGTAACTCTGTAACTGTTTCGTTTATCTCTCACTTGCACTGCTCCCACATTTGATTTTCCTATATATCTATTATTACAAAAGTGTCCATCACTGCAATAGGCTGTGTGATTGTCCTAGAGCAGTGGTCCTCAACCTTTTTGGGACCGTGGACCAGCTGAGCCTCTGAGGAAGGCAGCCCCCCCCTGCAGGTGCTCGCATGCTCTCGGGTGCATGCATGAAGCGGTGGGGGAGTGCCCGCCCACCAACACCGGTGTGAGTGCTCCCCCACCCCTTCGCGCAGGTGCAGGAGAGCCTGCGCGGGTGCCTGCATGAAGGGGTGGGGGAGCGCTCACAATGGCGCTGGCACGTGCGCAAAGCAGCTGTGGGGAGGGGAGTGTGTCTGGGGGGGCGGGAGGTCTGTCTTCACGGCCTGGTCTGGCTCAGGATCAGTCATTCCTGTACAAGAAAGTCAAGGACTGCAAACCATAGGTGTGGCTGAAATGCCAGCAATCCCTGTCCCTAGTGAAATTGGAGAGAGACAAGTTTGTTGCTGCTTTTTTTTTTGCATCAGTCTTTTAATTATGCTTTAAACATCTTCTGAATATACTTTTTTGAAGATTTACTGCTCACTGGTTATTGAGGCTATATTAAATTGCTTTTCAAATCAGAATAATTCCTAAAGTGAATTTACACACTAAATCAGAAGATGGGCCCTATAAAAAACAGAGATGGGATAAACAAGGACCACCCTAGTTGGGTGACACGAGTTAGAGTGTTCTATTGCTTAAAGAGGGTCATGAGGCCAGATTTGTTGCATTCTGTTGGAAAAATGAATTTAACATGTATTAAATCAAAAAGAGACATTCAGCAGTAACCATAAGCTTTCATGACTGTGAAATTACAAAAGGATTCCCAAACCCTAGATCTTAAAGACCAGAAGGATATAAAAAGTGGTGTAGCCTCGAGGATCTTAGACTCAAGACTGTGATACAACCTTCCTCAACAACTGAGACTGGTGGGGATAAGTCCCAATATATAGTATTACATGGGTTATCAAGGTTAGGCAACAGTAAAAGGCTTCAATAGGGCAGTTGCTGGCATCTTCCATTTGGTATGGAAACAGCCACCATGAAGAACAAGCTCCATACACATGCAGTCCAAAGACATCAACCTGACTGCCACATTAGTTTCCACAGCCCCATAAGCAACAGGTTTCTCTGTGCAAGCTGGATGTATGGTGCTAGGCTGGCCTTCCATTACACACATGCCATTCTATAGGATGTGAAGCAACTAAACAGCAGCCACCTTTAAAATCATTGGTGGACTTCCCTGTCCTGAAGGAGGAAATGTTGGAGCCGAAGGTTTGCTCCTTTGACCCTGCATGTCTAAGGCATTGTGGAAGACCTAACATGAATCCGTCAAATCAGTCTCGACCTCCTTCATGCCTTTGGAACTGGAGAGAAGTGGGGATTGCAGTTCCCAGAACAATCTATGCAACTCTCTATAGCAGAGATGGGCAAGTTCTGAAATTCTATGATGCAGAGTACCAGGGTAGGGGGGGAAAGGGGGAAAGAAAACAAATAAAAATGTCTTCCAATTGGGGGACTGTCTGAGAGGGTCTGCCTGCAAAAGTCACTGCTCTTGGAGGCTCCTACCCCCCCTTTTATTTTTAATTTGAAAGGAGGGCTGCAGGCTCAAAAAAGACCCTGTGGACAGCATGAAGTCCAGGGCCACACTTTGCCTGCATCAAAATTGAGAGAAAGCTGATTGCATGTCATGGTTGATGGAATACAGTGCCACATTTGCCACAATCACTATACAGTGGTGCCTCGCAAAACGATTTTAATTTGTTCCGCGAAAATCATCGTCTTGTGAAAAAATAATTCCCTATGGGAACCTCGCAAGATGAATGAAATTTATTTGTCTTGCGAAGCATGGGTCTTGGGGGGGAAAAAGTATTGTGAAGCACGGTCACAGAAAAACCCGTCTTGCAAAGTACCATAGGAATCGCGAAAACCAATCGTCTTGCGGGTTTTTCGCTCCGCGAGGCAATCGTCTAGCAAGGCACCACTGTAGTGAATGCAAACGTTAAATCCTGCGAATACAGATGATATTCATGCCCTGTTTTTGCCAAGGAAATAAGCAAACACCTTATACAGTGGTGCCCCGTATAGCGATGATAATCCGTTCTGAAAAATCGTCGCTATGTGGATTTGTCGCTATGCGGGGCAAAAAAGCCCATAGGAACGCATTAAAACACGTTTAATGCGTTCCTATGGGCAAAAAACTCACTGTTATGCGGAAATACTCCATGTGCCCGCCATTTTCGCTGCCCGGTAAGTGAGGAAAGGGCATGAAAACACAGCGGGCGGCCATTTTCTTTACCCGGTGGCCATTTTGGAACCGCCGATCAGCTGTTAAGAAAACATCGCTATGCAAAAATCGGTAAGCGAAACGCTTACCGATCATCGCAAAGCGATGCTTACCATTAGAAACATCGCAATGCGATCACAAAAAACACATCACTATGTGGATTCGTTGTTAAACGAATCGTTCGTTATGCGGGGCACCACTGTATCCCTGACTATTACTGGAGAAGTTTGCAAACATTGGGGCATGGACTTCTGCCCCCCCCCCCGGACAAGCTGTCAACCCCTCTAAAACCCTTTAGAGAAAACAAAAGCCATCTGGCTCCAAGATAATGCCACACAAACATACCTCACTACTGTCGTCGTGGTTGAGGGATTTGGTGGATCACATCCTTCTGGGGGACCTGTGTCAGGAGCAGGAGGATCCTGTTGAACACTAGAGGCTGCTGCATGGAATGGGAGAAAAAGGCAGAATGATGAGAAATAGAAATATAAAGAAAATAAATGGAGCCAGGCCACATACTAGTAGGTATGGCAGTAGGAGCAAATCCTGCATGTGCCAACAAGCAGAGCAACAGACAGCCAAGCCACACCTATTATAAATCTCGCATTTGAGGTTTCAAACAGAATAGAATGCAGTTTTTCAAGCATCTTTCCCCATCAACAGGGAGTAGACACACAATTGATGAGCCCTGAGACATCCTGCACAATATTTGTGATATTCTGTGATGCTGCTTTAGAGAAGTCTAAGTTCTGTCCTCTGTTGACCAGCATAGAAGTTTGGCATCTTTGATGAAATGTAGAAGATTGTGTCATAGCACGAGGAGCCTGGAAAAAATGAAACTCAACAAATTCTAGCTTCATGGAATGAGTCACTGATCCCAGCGTGTTGTTTGTCTAATATTTCTTTACCCAGAATGTTGTTAGTCTGTAGAACTCCTTGCCACAGGATGTGGTGATGGCATCTGGCTCAGATGCCTTTAAAAGGGGATTGAACAGATTCCTGGAGGAAAAATCCCTTGCAGGTTACAAGCCATGATGGAGATGTACAATCTGCAGGCTTAAGAGGAAGGTTTTTCAAAATGCCAGATGCAGGGAAGGGATATCAGGAGACAAGTATCTAGTTGTCTCGTGTGCTCCTAGAGGCATCTGGTGGGGCCACTGTGAGATACAGGAAGTAGGATTCTTCTTATGTTCTTATGATCATATACACAAGATGTTTCAAGAAGGTCCTCCACTCTACAGTGGTAACAGTGTAGAAAGATACCATCTTGATTGGAGTTAAGCAGAAGAACACTGCATTATTGAAATGAATATTCACCCTAATAAGTGTTGTTATTCCTTTTCTTTTTGTCTGATTTGTTCATGAGCTGGGTTTGCTCACTCTGACATGAAACCAAGGTTTTGTAAGGGAGACTCATTAGCTTTTTCTTCCAAAGCCCGAAAACCTGAGCTCCTGCATACGTTAGTCTCAGCCTCTTTAATTGTTTTTATAATGTGTACTTGTGTAACTGATGAGAGATTAGCTCTAACTTCAAATCAGCTTTCTGGCCAGAATCCTAACCACTTCAGTGTAGTTTTCTGTTCACTTATTTATGCAACTAGGGTTGTTTAATATCAATCAGTTCCAGAAGTTGCCTTAAAATTCCATGACAAGTGTCCTCTTCAAACATATGTGGGCAATCTGGGACTCTGCAGCTTTGCTGAAGGCTACTCAAGCTGGCTCCACCCCTGAAGGCAAAGTGGGGAACTGGTCTCCAGCTCTGCAGCCAGATGCCTAACTCAGAATTAATTAATTAAAAAATAAAGAATTATTTCTCCATTCCAAAATGTGTCATGCACTGAAGATATGTTTTTTTAGTAGCCACCTTGAATGCTTTCAATTCAAATCAGAAGTAGAACTGTCAATAGCCAGATCTTATTTCTCCCCTCAAAACCAGCCTCCTTGTCAATATAAAAATATGGACAAAACACACAAATCAAATGTCTTCTCACCACACCACCCTTGGAAGTAAGATGCAAGATTAGAGAGTGGAGTCAGCAGAATGTGGCAAATTTCCAAAGAGTGTAGCTAACTAAACTCAGGTAAGTAGTTAATTTACAAATTTAATAGGGGCAAAATGGAAATGGGTGTGGATGCCAATAACTACTTCTGTTTGTAGTCACATTGTGAAGATTTAGGGTGCAACTCACCTCTTGCTGGGGATATATTACTTTGCGTCACTTCCTGAGCAGGGGCTGCAGCAGAGGCAGGGCTTGTAAGTGCTTTGGAGGGACTAGAAAGACAAAAAGATACACTAAGAACAACTAAGGAAACAATTCAGGACCAACCAAGACCCTTCTGTGCTATCTCAAACCCATCTATTTTGTCACCGGGATCAGGCCTCGTTAATGAGCTCCAAAAGCCCATTTGGTTCATTATCAGCCCATGTTACTTCGCTCCAAAATACAACAGTTATTAAACTAGTTAAACATTCTAAAGCATCACCTCTCTTGCTGGGTGTGGGGCTCAGTAAAAGAGGCCCAGTTCTCATTTGTGGTGGCATCTGATCTGGACTGGTCCCACACCGCTGCTCCTGTGTCATCTGCCACAAGCTGTGAGGATGCCACAGATACTGAGGAAGGATCAGAGGAACTGTCTGTCCAGCTAGGATCTAGAGGAGAATAGATTTGTAAAGGAAATGAGATCTAAGCAGTGCTCATGACTCAAAATTAGAATAAATGGTAGTAAGGGCAGGCCATTACTTGACACCCAAGCCCAGAGAAGGAGAATTTCTGCCACTCTGGCATCAATCTGGACCACCCACCCACCTGCCCAGGCTGCAAAGGGGTGGAGAAGGTCCCCTCAAATCCCCATCCCCACTAAGCAGAGATTCTGACCTTGAAAACAAACAAAAATTGAATCTGTTGGATACCTTTTTTCCTCTTTTGCATCAGAATACCTATCAGTTGATAAACAGGAAATAAGCTTCTGTTTCATCTACAAATCCCACCCCTCCCCTGCTGTAACAAGCCAGGGAACTCATGAAGCCCTGACCTCCTAATGTCGTCTCCACCTCCGTTTGTTCACCACAGCCATTGCTGACATGGCTGGCGTCTCCATCTCCCCCACCAGGATCCTCTTCCTCACCCCCATCTCCCTCTTCTGAGTCTTCGCTGTCCTCGCTATCTGTACTGCCAAGGCTTCTGTAAAAAGAGGGGATGAAAAGAGAAAGAAGTAAATGAAGACTTGTCGAATTGTCTGTTTGCACTGAATCAAAGTGCAAGTCCACTTAACTCAGTCTTCCCTACTTTGATTGGCACTGGCTCTTTAACATCTCCAGCAAAGGATCTCACTGACCTACTGCCAGAGACCCTTTTATCTGCAGATGCTGCAGATTCGATCGTGCATCTGTTTGCATGTACTATTGCATGTACTAGTGAAGGATGTTACAGAAACTAAATGCAAATAGCACAGGAGGGCAGTTTGTGGCCAGTCATCAGCCCTAACCAGCACAGCCAATCGTGAGAGAAGATGGATGTTGTAGTCCAACAACACCTGGAGGGCCATAGGTTACACATGTCCTGTACATGTTATCAGGAGGAAAAAGGCATACAAAAATGACATTGTGAAGAAGGATATGAGAGTTTTCTCCAAGTTACTGGGTGGATGGAGGACAACCAGAGAGGATAAAATAATATTTTAGACTTTTTAGTGATTGTTTTTAATTGAGAAAATTGAGATGATGAGATCTCCATGAAACTTAGAGTGAATTTGTTTTTTAATTGCTGGACCTGGCAAGGTTAGCCACCTGAAAGTGGAAAGTAAAAATAGGCAGGCACTGTAAAAACAAACAAGCAAACAAACAAACACTGACCACCAATATTGCAATTATTAATCTGGACATGCTAGGAAGAAAAATGTGTCCCAGAAAATAAGTCTAATAGATGGTCTTAAATTGAGACAGTTTACAAGGAAGGAAACAGCACATAGCAAATGGGTGAAATGAGACACAAAGTCTGCTCCTGTACATTTAGAACACAGAGGCCAATGATGTACACTGTACATCAGCTTGGATTCTACTGTTACTAAAATAGTGTTATACATTATTAAACAGTTTAAGCTGTGCTGAACACTATACAAACCAAGAGGCCCTTGCTGAAACGGCTTTCTTACTCATGCTTACTTAGCACACATCCCACCATCTAAGGGTGCCCTCTTTCACATCAACAGAAATCACCCTCACAGGTTTCCATCTGAGACAGGAAAAGGGGAGTGAAAAGGAACAAAATGCACAACAACCAAGGAATGGGCTCCTTACCTAGAAGACAAGGAGAAAGCAAACCTTAAATAGATGTTTGCCAAACACATCATATGTGGGAGTAGTACTTAATGATGGACCAGGATTTGGGAGATCCAGGTTCATCCCCTCAGGTCATGAAAGTCACAGGGTGATGTTGGGATAGTCAGTCTTTCTTACCCCCCATGGCTCTCATGAGGAGAAAGTGGGGAACGAATATGCCATGAATGCAAACTGGAGGCTTGTTGAAAAAAGGTGGAAAACAAATGTAACTAATAAATAAATATGGCTATTTGAACGTGGGGAGATAAAAGATAGGATAGTTTTATATTTCTGAAAACAACATATTTAATAGGAAGACTATTCCGTGTGGAAGAAGAGTAGAAAGGGGCCTCAATGTTGGTCTGATGGAACCCAAGAGCATTTTCATGCCCACCTGACTGCTGTGGGCTGTGCTGTGCCAGAAGAGATGGCCGCCTCCTTTTCCTGCCAGATGTCTTCCCCATCAGAACCGTCAGCCTCCTCATCGTCATCAAATTGTTGGATCCGCTCCTTGTAGCAGATGTCAAAGAGATTGGAGTTGGGCTGAGGGAAGAAGAGAGGAGAAAGGTGGCTGACATTAAAGGCCTAGTTCAGAGGAGACGCAGGAAGAGGGAGCTGATCAAAGGAGTGTCACTTACGCTGTCATCATCCGCATTCAAGGAGAAGGAGATGTTAGCCGTCTTGTCAAAAGGTGCACTGAAATAAAGGAAGGAGATCAAGATGAAGCCTGGAAAAGGTTACTGCATCTTCATATGGGAAAACAGCAATGACCTAGTTTGGAGAGAAGGGAGGGAAAGGGATCCACGTAGGGTATTGGGAGTTGGAATCTATTCATCTTCCTTTTTAGAAGCTTTGGATAATAAAAAGTTTCTCACTTACACAGCACTTCAGAGGGGCCCCAAAATACTTCTCAAACAACAATCCCACGCTAATCAGTATCACTATACCTACACTGCAGAGGAAGGATCTGAAACAGAAACAACAGCTTGTCTACATCCCCACAGCAGATGAGACTTGCTAATTTTTGGCTTCATCTTAGCTACTGTGCTCCACGTCTTTTCTTCCAGCCATACAACAAATTCAAAATCCACCTCCACATCCCTATAAGTATTCTAACAGGCCTGGCCCTCAACCTGGGCCAACGTCCCTAGTTCTTTTTTAGCTTTGCATAAATCCCTTCCTAGATGAAGCAAAAATGTCCACTCCTTGTTTTCAACAATATATAGAAAAGGAATCAAAGTGGCTGAATATCTGCAGCATTTCAGTTGTAGCCCCATATTTATGTAATTCCTTGCCCTGAAAAAAATCAGTCAACCCGAACATTATTAATTTTTTAAAAAAGCTTATTTGTATTTCAATCCACATTCTGGTAATCAGCTTAATTTCCTGGTTTAATTTCTGTTCCATGGAATTTTAAAGGGTGTTATGTGTTCTTTTTAAAAAGTATTCTGTATGTTTTATTTGTTGCAGAACTACATATTGCCTTATAAAGCCTTTCGCTTGAAAAGTCACTGAGAAATATTCTAATAAATACCTCTAGCCTACAACTGAATGGAACCTTCATGCAGTAGACAGAACAGACTTCCTGTCTGAGACAAAGCCAGTAGTATCAAGAGGCAAACAAATCACTACCAGCAGGTGCCCGAGTCTGTCAAATAGCCAACACACCCACATACCCTGTGATTTGCTTTGTACCACTGTAATCCACCATGTTTCACAAGAGGTACAGGACAGGTACTCAAATTCCAAAACACCTACAAGAGTGAGGATCACTATGTTTTTGTGTAGAATAGATGTGGACTTTTTAGCCTGAACTGCCATATTTCTCGTTAGCTGAATGATAGGCAGAACTGCAGATATGCACTGATGAGGGGGAGGGGGCAGATATAGCCCAAGGTTGTTGTTTGTAGGGGAAAAGGAACACAGCAGCGCAGGTTGGCATTTACCTTTTCAGCTGTCGGTAGTGAGCGCTGCAGGGCAGAAAGGCAGAGAAAGTGGGAGAGAAAGAGAAAGAGAGAGAGGCAGACACGTGAAATCAGGAGATTGGGGAAGTGGGAGAGAAAGAGACTGTCCTGTTCAAGGGAGTTGAGGATATTGCCAATAAGGACTAGGCTCCCTCCTCTTCTGCACTGGCTATGCTTTCCCATGAAGCTGCTTCAGTAAAAAAAAATAGGAACTGCCAGAGTAAGAACTACTGGACAATCTTTGCTGAGAACCCATGATTCTAAGATGTGTTTCTCCTTAGCAGGCAAGACTGTCTAGTTATAAGCAGAAGTGAGCAAAGCATGCTGGGAACCAGATCCTCTGGGAGGGGAATAGGTTCTAGATAAAATTACATATTTCATTCCAAAAGCTTAGTCATCTTGGCTTCTGAACGTGGACCATTTCAGGCTTCCTAGAAGCATCTGACTGGCTAATGCAGGAAGAAGGGTACCAGATTAGAACAACCTTTTGATTAGGGGATTTTGTGTTTTTATAAGTTGCCAATACCCTTTCAAAGAGCCACAGGGAGTCGAAAGCTCCCAAGTATGAGCCTAGATATTCCAGGGAACATAAGTGGAATTATGGGCATACGAGCAAGGCCATTCCTACCCACACATTTCTGGCTTCTCCACATTTTATTTCAGGAGAGGTCAAAGAGTGCTGCCTTCAAGATGTGGTACTCGGGCGGGTGCTGTTTCCCTCAAGGTGTCTAGGCCCCAAACTCACAAATCATAGCCATCTACAACGGTGAATGGTCAGGAATGATGGAAATTATAGGCCATAACTTCTTGAGGGATCAAGGATGAGGAAGGTTACTCTAGCCATCTGTATGGCAAGAGGTCTCAAGGGTCTTCCCTTTCTCCTCAGGTTTGCATTGTGCATCCATGTCATTCTGTGACCAGCTACCAGACACAGGTGCTATCACCAATTTAACTTTAATGTTGGTGAAGACCTGTACAGGGCCAGGGTTTCCTTACTCTGTCAGTCCAAGCAGCTGTAATCCCATATGCAGGATTACAAAGTTCTGGTTCTGAGCTCCTCATGCAAGCATGCTTTCTTCCCATGGTATACAGACATTCCCCATGCTTCCATGTTGTTCCCCCAGGAGACATGGCTTATCTTCAGCTTACAAGCACAAAACAAATAAGAATGAAAAAAAATAAAAAAAGAAACTGATGGAGCTCAGAAAGAATTAAGGAAGAAAATAAACACAGCACTAACTTGACATTTTCTTCTTGCTCCCCAAATTCTTCATCATTAAAGCCAAAGTGGTCAATGAAGGCTGAAGTCATCTGCTGCAACTGGTAATCTACAAAAGCCTATAGAAAGGGGGGAAAGGGGAGACAAGGACAAACATGAGTTACTGTTTAAATAGGAATGCTAGTGTAGAAGTATGAAAGCTGGTAGTGAGGCCCAAGGTTCTCTCCAAGGCGGGAATTGCTGCTTATAGATCCGCAAATATTAGACTTCATGACTTCCATAGAATCTTGAGTTAACAATTTGAATTTAAAAAAAAAACACCCTGTAGTTTCTACTGTTGTATAGAAAGTTTATTATTTCTTCATTTTGGTAATTTGAGCAGAAGTTGGTAGAGGGGAAGGAATGAGGAGGTAAGATGGTTAAAAAGATTTTTGCATTTTTATGCACCGTGCATGTTTAAAACTTCTCTCTCTCTCTCTCTCTCTCTCTCTCTCTCTCTCACACACACACAGAGAGAGAGAGTTGATTGTTTTCAGCCCAGGCAAGGCAATATGAAATGAGGTGTGGAGAGTGAAGTATCAATCTCTTTTAAGGGGCCTGGATGTGGCAACACACTTGCCTGTTGCAGGACAGCCTCCTGAGGGAAGCTAAATTCCTTGAGGTCATTCTCATCATCATCACTTGACGAGTGGAGGTTGTGCATATTAACCTAGAGGAAACAAAGACAAGTATGTGTTACAAGAACCCTTTGATAGAAAGAAAAATTGAAACCAGACAAAACTTAACAGCTCAGATGCCAAAATTCAAGCAAATGAAATTCACAATTTCTTATGGCAGCTTCCACCAACATAAATGTTTGAATAAAACACTCACAACCCCTAGTGAACATAGTTCATGGCTGTGCTGGTGGGAATGATGGGAGTTGTATTCCAACACTTATGGAGGGTGTCATCTTGGTGAAAGCTGGCCTCTGGCTTGTCTTCTCAGCAGGCACTCACATAAAAGCTATTAAGCTTTTCAAACGGGCCCCGCCATACCCCCGTCTCTTTCTTCTGCTCCTCCCTTTCATCACCACTGCTCCAGTCTTTCCAGCCATATCATCAGACTGGCTGTGATACTGCCTTAGGCTACTGAAAATGAGCAGCAGACACATATAGCTTAGGTAACACTTCCAAGACAAGACCAGAATACAGTACACTGGACAGATAAAGGGGGGGGGGAGCTCCGAGAGGCCTCCAGCAGCCACGCCAAAGCCCTCGGAGTCCACCTACAACGGCGATGGCGGCGCAGCCACGCCAAAGCCCTCGGAGTCCTCCTACAACGGCGATGGCGGTGGCGGCGGAGCTTCAAGAGGCTTCCAGCAGCCACGCCGAAGCCCTCGGAGTTCTCCAGCAGCGGCGATGGCAGCAGCAGGGGGCCCCTGGAAGACGTCAGAAAGGTAAGTTTTTATTTTTAAATGTTTATTTTTATTTTGTATGTGTGGGGGGTGGGTGGGGGGGTTACGGATTAAATGGTTTTCAATGCATTCCTATGGGGAATGCATTTTCGACCTGCGTACTTTTTGACCTACGGACTCCGTTCCCATACGGATTAATTCCATAGGTCGAGACCCCACTGTATATAACATGATTTTATCTTGGTAAAATAGTATGTATGGAGCATTAGCTCACAATGCACAAATTTCCTACTTATAGCAATTAGGAATGTCATCTTGAAAGTTATTAACCTTAAATCTGTTATTGTTATATGTTCAAATGGACTTTTAATCAACTGTGTGAACACCAAATACAAAGACCAAGGTGCTTGTGGTGACTTCATATGTGGTAAGTATTCTTCAAATCCTTCAAAAATATTTTACAAGTTGGATCTCTGAAAAGCTGTGAAATCTGAGGATTTCCTGGTTGGTGAGCCACTATTGTAACTAAGCAGACTTTCAAAGATGAAATGGTCAAACCCAATTTCTTTAAGTGGAGAAGGAATTTAAGAGTAGTGTGTAGCAAAGCTGGGCAGCTACCCATTAACTACCAATCTGTAAACTTTTCCCACTTGTATTTATAAAATATTTAACAGACAGTTTTTTTGGCTGTTGCAAAATATGCTTTATTGATGAATTATTCTCCAGTCAACCCTCAGTTGCTCTTTATCTGGATGTTGTATTGATCCCTTCTGACATTTTAGAATTGTTTCACAACAGTAGTTACATTTTTTTCCTTTGCCATTAGCAACAGGATAGTGAATCAAGGCTGACGCAGCCACCATGGATTTATTAGAATTATATCCAACTTTTTCTTGTTTGATCTTCATTATTGTGCAATTAATCAGTGAAAACAAACATTAGACATTATTCCTAGGGATTTATAATGAACCTCAGATAATTTTTCCTTTTATTTTTCAACAAACAGTATATCTTGCATTTTTTTATCATTGCAAGAAGCAAACACATCTACTTTTGGCAATCCTCATCTGTATATGTAGATTACATATCTATGAGGATTACACAGACTTTTTAAGACAATCTGCATTTGTGTGCTTGTGTTACCTTTCTACTCAATGAATCTGTTTTTCAATTGTCTTCTCTGGTCACATGCATCACTATTGAAAAAAAAGGTGGTTTACACTCCTGTATCTCTCTCTTTAGACAATGTGCTCCCCATCCCACTTTGCTTGCATCCATGACTGTAAGAATGGATTATTGTAGATTATAAAAAATTATTCCCATCTCTAAATGCTTCTGCCTTATCCACCACCTTAGCTGTCTTGTCAGATGTAGTGATAGAGAAAGTCTCTTGAAGTGTGAATATCTTTTCTCATAACACAGGAGATAATCTATTTGTAGGAGTCTCTTTCTTAGCCTAGTATGATGCATTCCTGCCATTGTCAATGTCATGAAGCCCAATAGTTTGAAATTCTCATGTGCAGAGCTGCTGATAAGTAAATTTTTCTGCCTAAAATATAAAATTTCCTTCCTTTACTTATTGGTGTTGTTTGCAATCTTCCTGGTTTTTTTGTTTGTTTTTCTAAGTTTCTCTACTATAATCGAGTTTGACAATGGATGTTTAAGTAAGAAATGTACATCTTCTATGTTTTAATGTTGATGGTATTGTAAATGGTTGTTGCCACAATTGGTTTATTAGGTCTGTTAATATTTGCAGTGTTAGGAATACATGATTATTTTTTCCGCACTCTTGCAAACACAGAATACTTTGCTGATCGTGTCGGCTTAATTATTCGCAACTGTAATGATTTCTCCATCCTTTCAATTAAGTCATTATATGATGAAAGATTGTCAGATGGTATACAGTGGCACTGTATCTCCAACATCTAAATCCAGTGAAGTCACAAAGGGTGACTTTAAATTATCATTTGGTATGTTATCTGAATTTAAAGCATAATTATCTCTTTACTTTTTTCAGATATTTCTCATGGCTGTATTTCTTTTGATATTGGTAATGGGTTTGATGTTGGTGCCAAGATCTGGCATTGTGTAAGTGCTGGGGTGAATACAAACTTTGGATCTGGTGGTAGTAACATAAGAGGCTGTAAAATTGCTGTTTCCATAATTGTATTTAATACTGTGTTTCTTTGTGAACTTGAGACTGGTTGTTTGCATGTGGTAGTCTCAGAGGTCTGATCTTTATGCTTTGATGGGGATCTTTGAATAAGTGGTATCAGATAAATAATAAAATTATAACCTAGTTAATCTTTTTCTTTCTTTGTTGTTCACAATGCAATGAAAGGTTTTCTAGTTTGATAGTGTTTTCTTTTGTGAGATGGGCTTCTTCAATCACAATATCGATATATTTCCTTTGAATGTGGTCTACTCTTCCCTAAAGGACACTGGAGAAAGTCAGCCCATATTTTTAGATAAGGAAGGTGACGGACAGAAAAATGAAGATAAATATTGGGAATCCATGGAAGACCTTGACAGACCATAAGCTCTAATGCCAAGGGTGATTGATGGCAAAGTCGATCTTGTTTGCATCCTTGATCTCTCTTCCTTGGAGGTTTCCTCTTCCTCCATATTTTGGAGGTGTTAGATCTTATACAGGAGGCCATGATCATGTCCTTGATCTTATCTTTTCTTTATGCTGTAGTTTCTGGATGACTTGTTACATCTTGCATAAGAGAAGCTCTTGGTGCTGGGCGCTTTGGTAATAATAGAGGAATATTTTGTATAGATGGGCTGAATAGCTTTCTATCTAAAATTAGAACCAACATTTAGATCTTTTTGCTGTTGGTTTTCTGTAGATTCCACAATCTGTGATAACACTGCTGAGTATACCTGGGATGATCAAGGTTTGTGCCTTTTTTGGATTATCTGGGTAGATATCTGTTGAACTTTTTTGTTTTTTATTGTACGAGTCAGTTTTTGTCATCAACTTTGAACTCATTTTTGACTTTGACTGAATATTGTCTTTAGGATATGGTAGTTTGTTCCTGAGCTAGTAATTTTTATGTGCAGCTTCCATTATTTTTTGCTTTTCAGTGATTTGCTTGATGGATGTTGACTGCCTGGCTGTGGTATTCTTACTGAGAGAATGTGTTGTTTTTAAAGATTTCTCTCACAGATGCCATTTTAAATGGGATTAACGATTTTTCAAAGTCAATTTCGTAAATCCTCCGCAGATTACACAATTTTTAACTAAATGAGCTTCTCCCTAAGCAACATAAACACTGGTCATGTCCATCTGCAGTATTTTTGCTCCAAAGCCAGAATAGCATTTCATTAAAGCAGCTGAGGCCCTAAACCGTTAAGATTTCATCATTGGTTAAGGAAAGAGAAGGAGTGGGGAAGGAATCACAAACAAACGCTTTATCTTTTTTTAAGGTTGAAGTTAGAAGATGAGGGGAAAGTAAGTACAGTGATGGTAAATTTAGAGGCTACTTATGGGAACTTTTTTTTTTATCATTCTCTGAGTTCCAGACAACAGTGGATGTTGTCAAGACAGACATAAAGGAACAGAGGTAAATGGGTAGAACATGTACAGTAAAAGCAAGATTAAAAAGTCTTGAGGCTAAAACTCTGGAAACTTATCTGGGAGTGTTTGTGCAGTCACAGAATCTACTTGTGTGAAACACACAGACCAAGATGAAGAAAGCTGAGTTCCCCCACAGATCTCACCTCTGTGAACAAAGAGGATTTTGATTGTCAATGGCTCTAAAGAGAAATCAGTCCTTCACATTAGAAATAGAAGAACCTATTTCTCCCAAAGGCAAAAGCAAGATCCAGGACATGTGAACTGTGACGCTAAGAGAAAATATTCTTCTTGGTGCAAGACAGAGGATTTGACTCTGGCACTATTTTTTCCAAGATACTGTCAGACATTTTGCAATCAGGTTAGCTGAAATATAAAATACACAAAAACTATGATAGCAAACTCACAAGATCCACAGTGTTTTTCTTGTTTGTTTCTGACAGGGGCCCCGAGACAAACTTCTCCCACCGCTCTTGATCTTCCTCGGGAAGCTCTGAAAGATAGCAAGTTGGGAGTGCATTTCGATTGAGACAAACTGGTGCACAAGAGAATGGTCATTCTTCGCAATGCACAATGGAACTGTAGGTAGCAATAGAAGGAGTAACCACACAAAGGGCTTGCAGTGTCCCTTGCCCAACTCCTGAAATAAGAGTTCACAATCATCTTCGGCAATGCCGCTCAATAACCCACAAGCAAGAAATGGGGACAACTGTTTTCCCTCTACCTGCTATACTGTGACATACTGTCTTTACGAATGGAGCTTCTTTATATAAGCTTAGATCTCATTTCCACAGATTGATCTCACTTCCTTTTAAAGCTATCCTTAACTCTTGAAGCACCAGACACAGAAAATACCAGAAATAATGGATGGCACCTTGCAGCAACAGCTTACTAGAAAGAATGGGAAATCTCATGCTCCTCCTTCAGGCTACAGACACTAAATACCTGACAAGTCATCAGATCCTCTCACTTTCCAGAAAAGGTAACCAATGATAGGAGCAGGCATTGTAGAGACCAAGCTTCAGTTTTCCAGGATGTTGACATGCCTGCCTCCGGTTTATCACCTCAGTCTTCCTGGGGTGAAGATGACTCCAACAGCAAGTTTATACTGTGAAATCACTGAAAGCACTAGACTTAGATCTATAATTTGACATGCTTCATATGTGTTGAATAACAGCTGTTGGTCATGCTGGCTGGGCTGACAAGTTGTAGCCCAGCACATCTGGATGATGCCACATTAAGGTTGGGTTGAAGGATTCAAGTTCAAATTCTCATCCAGCTGTGATCCCTGCTAGAGTGGTATGATATACCAGATGGGTTCCTAGCCAACGTCAAAGTCAACTGTCCGTATGATTCCCACCAAGCACATAGGCCCATACTTGTAAAATCCTATAAACCCAATTATCTAGTAATCTAATCTCAATTCTTAAAGCTGATGAATTCATAACTATTAACATATTGTGGTCTAGAAAGGTAAATAAATAGGTGCTCTTGGCCAAGTCATTATGTTTCAGTTAAATTCACAGGGAATGGGGGAGCAGTGCATATGCCACTCTGAGGTCATACAGCAGGATAACAGATGTTCCCACTTTTTCTTTCCTAGAACTTCTTTCCTCAGTTCCTAGCCAACGTCAAAGTCAACTGTCCGTATGATTCCCACCAAGCACATAGGCCCATACTTGTAAAATCCTATAAACCCAATTATCTAGTAATCTAATCTCAATTCTTAAAGCTGATGAATTCATAACTATTAACATATTGTGGTCTAGAAAGGAAGCTAATTCCATTTCCCCCTTAGATGACAGAATTCCCTATACAGACAGCAGACTTCAACTAACGTAAGCAGTATCGTAACAGTAAAATGAAGGGTTCGTGTTCTTTCATTTGGAAGGAAATGAACTCCCAAAATGCTCCCTGCACCAAAGGTTCCTTTCAACATCAAATATCTTTAAAGGTCACTTGGGCCAACCCTGCATGCATCCAGTGGTCCCTACCAAATGAAGTTGCCATCCTGGTTACCTTTTAAGAGCTGCTTGATGAGGGTAGAGTGGGGCCACTTTTCAGAGCCTTGAACTACGGCATTGGCAACACGAGTGAGATGCCCCATGTAGCCCTTGCGCCTGCCCCCGTCTGACCTACAAGAGAAGACAGAGAGAATGATTGCTAATGGTTGCTGCAGAGATGTCTAGGCTAGGGCTTGAAAAAGTTACACTTCTGAATAGCAGCACCTCAGCTAACATGGCCAAGCACTGGTCAGGGTGTAAAGAAGGAGAGATCACATACGGAATGAAAAGGGAAAGGAGGGCCTATGTGGTCCTTATGGACCAATCAAGTGGAGCTGCCCTGGGTTTGAGTATGTAGCCAATAAAGGCCAGAAGGAACAGAATGAGGTGTGTAAGAATCTTGTATCATATCAAACTATTCGATCAAATGATCAGATTAAACAAAGCATGGGTGAAGTTTGGTCCTCTAGAGATGTTGTATTCTAATTCTCAGTAGCTCTAGTCAGCACACCAGATGTGGTGTTTGCTGGGAACTCCATCCAGTCACCCTTGGAGGGCTGCACTTTGTTCATCTCCGACTGTACTGGCTGAAATACTGTTAGCAGCATAAGCCCACATGTACCTTTTCAATCTATCCCTCCCCAGTAAACGAAGTGCCACTGTTTGGGGGGTGGGATGAGAGGAGCATGGAGCAAGCCAACAGGCATGCACAACCCAAGAATCATGGCAATAGCATTTTGTTCACCACAAAGCACCAGATGAAAAATTACATTAGGGCTTACACTACGAACAGTAGCTGTTGTCTACTCTGACGTGCAGCAGATTTCCAGGATAATGAGAGAGGTCTTTCTCATCACCTGCTGCTTGATCTTGTACCTGGAATTGTCTTGATCATGAGACCTTCTGCACATAAAGTATATAGATTATCCCTGAGCTATGGCCTTTTCCATAAAATATTGAGCTTTCTTTTATCTTGTATGGAGGGCTTTTCCTCTACAGTTGTGTGGTCTGTAGCCTACATCAACCTTTCTCCATTTCCACAGAAAACTGTATGTTACCTTCCCATCACCAACATGGTTTTCTCCACAAGTAGTGACAGCAAGGTGGATAGAGGAGGAGGGGGATCATGGTTAGGAGAACCTAGTCTATATAGGAATGGGAGAGGTAAGTAAAAACTATAATCAAATGTCTCAAGCTAAAGGAGTTATAAGGAATTCTGATTAGGTCTTAAAGGTTGAGGAAACTGAGCAGAGAAAATAATACAAGCTATTACGATATACTATGATATTTGCCCTTGGGTACAGGATCTTCTGTAATCCAGAACAACTCTAAAAAATTCTGGTTTACTTCCGAGGGTGTCGTTTCCTCACTTCAAGGGAAGGAGAGGGAGAAGAGACAGTACAAACACACCACTCCAACCTTCCCCATCCACTGCCAAGTTTCCTGATTAGGTACTCACTGTGACTGTTCATTTTCTTCCCAGGCAGACAAGATTCTTTGGATTAAATGACACTTCTGCAGCAACTACAGAGAGAGGCACAGTGGAATTCACTCCCATGAAGAATGCCAGTGGCAATAAATCAATGCCTACAACTCAGTAAGAAAGATTTGAGTTTCTCAACCAAATCTTTAACCACTTAAGCTTACAATTTTAAAAATGTCCAACCTTCATGGGAATAAAATCTAAAGAATGGTGGTGATGATTTCTCCAAACATGAAAAACTGAATAATGCCTTAACAAATGATGCTAGCGGTCAAGTGATGGAACTGCTTACTAAGTTGTCAATTAATCTCAGTCCTTCTCACCTCATTATTCCCCTGGTCAACTCAATTTTCAGTTCATTTCTCAGTTCCTGCAATCGGCATTACCCACATTTCCAATCTCTTTAGTTTCATACAGAGGCATTTATTTAAAAACATAAAGGAATCTATCACTTTCTTCTTCAACTCACTAACACACCCACATCTAAGTAACTTGAAAGCACAGGGACTCCAAGTGAAACTTACATGTTGGATAACGGGACTCTCTGGGAGAGGCTCTGGGTGGTTCTCGATGGTCTCATCCCCAGTGTGAGAACTGAAAACATTGCTAAGGCAGGCCTCCACCTGAGCGTGCAAGAAGTTGTTGTATGTGTACTTGAAGTAGAGGTCCTGACAAGAAGACAGAAGCAAAATATGCACTGCCACTCAGTAATGTTTTACATGATTCACTGCAATTAGTACAACTAACAGTACTCCACCCATTGGAGTACATGGGTGACAAATAATTGTCTTGCTGCCCACAGAGTGACAACTCTCTCTCATTCTTATTTTCTAAAGCTAAGGTATTTGGACAATCATTCAGAAAAAAAATCAATTAAATGTTTTTTTAAAAACCAGAAAAGGTGCTTCCAGTGAACTAGGAAGCTTACTTTTCAAATTCTTTGAAGGTGGCAAATGCAACTGTAGAGAGACATTCATATCTGTGAGAGGATGCAGAAAGACAAAACCCCTTTTGTAAAATAGTGGTGGAAATTCTATTGCTTAACATAAGCCAAACTGTCTGTTCTTTCATGGGGGGAAACATCCCTACCACTTTTGTTGATGACATACATACACACTGGCCTGGTGCGTGCAAACCTCAAATATTGCAATAAGAAAATTTTATTACTAGTCCAAAAGTTATGATTTGGCAATTGAATTTGGCTGTTGTCTGCTACAACAGCTTCAATCAAAACAAGTCTGCTTGTTCTCCTTACAAATACTTGTTGAAATCCAATTGCTTAGTGTCAGAACATAACTTTCTCTGTTCCCAATTAGCAAATAAGAGGTCCCTGCTATAATTCTTGCAGGTATGTACCCAACCTAGCCAGAGTGTACAGCCCCCAACCCCTAGCATCATGGTGAGAACTCTTTATTTGCCACCTAGGAACAGACTGAAAATTACTAGCTTTCTTACGCTTAGAAATAAATAGCCGCTCAGAGTGGTATAGATTTACCAGATGGGAGGGGTATAAATCAAATAAATAAATAAATAAATAAAGCTTTCAGCTACTGTCTTTCTTCTCACATAAAAACTCATGTAGATTTAGCTGACAGATTCAAACTCCTATAATCAACCAAGATTTTTTTAAATCTGATATCAGTCTTATTTATTTAATCTGATACCAGTCCTTTAATTTCTCCAGCAACTTTTCTATAAATATAATTGTTTATATCTGCATGATTTTTCAGGATAAATCTTTTTCATTTACTGTTTTTTCAATAGTGGTGCCTCACTTAGCGATGGCCCCTATGGGGAAAAATCGCTTTGCGATGATCGCGGGGAAGCGATCATCGTAAAGCCCTCATTTTCGACCAGCTGATCGGCGGCTCCAAAATGGCCGCTGGAAAAACAAAATGGCCGCCTGCTGTTTTTGCCTTTAGAGCAGTGGTCAGGGAACAGGGGTAAATTACCCCAAATGGGGTAAAAATGAAAATCCTGGGGGGTCCCCAGCAGCCCAATAGCTCCCTTCCCGCCCTCCCCTTCCCCAGTCCAGCTGCAACTGAGTCACAGTGGCTGGCGACGGGCCCCGGTCAGCGGCATATGGCAGCCGAGGCAGCGCTGGTGGGGCTGGCCATGGAGGAGAGTGAGGCCGGGGCGAGTGGTCAGAGCGCCCCAGCCAGGAGAAGCCTCTCATTCCAGTGCCTGGAGAGGTGGATCGTGGCGGAGGGGGGCGGTTGAGCCACGACAGTGGCCTGGGCCAGGCTCAGCCTCCCAGCGCTGGAACGCCGCTGCTGCCCCATGCCCCGTTCCCGGAGAAGCCCGTCGGGTGGCAGCCTGGGCCTGGTGGAGCCTTTCGCCCTCTGTGCAGCAGCTGTTGCAGCACTTCGACGTCAAAGCCCAATGTGGCCGCCCTGGCGAGCAGCTGCCGGATCCAGTGCCAGAGCTGGGGGTAGCGTTGGACGCCCCAGGCAGGTGAGGCAACTGCTGCTCTTCAATGGCCGCCCAGGAACCTCCCGCCAGCGGAGAAATGGAGCCGCCCCCATGGGGCCAAGGACTGAGCGCGGCCCCGTCAGGCATAGGTGGTGGTGGAGGAGGAGGCCCAGGTGCGGGTGGCGAGGCTGCGGCAGCGATGCTCGACGGGCTGAGCATGACCAAGAGCCTTCCTTTCAAATCAAGGGGGTAATGTTGCCGCATATAAATTTTTTAGGGGGTAAAAGGTAAAAAAGTTCCCTGATCCCTGCTTTAGAGGCACCGAAAATGGCCGCCCCTATGAAAGATCTTCGCATAAGGGCAGTCTTTAAGCCTATAGGAACGCACTAAACACGTTTTTATGCGTTTCTATGGGCTTTTTTATTCCGTTCAGCGATGAAATCGCTTAGCAACATTTTTTCCGGAACCGATTAATGTCGCTAAGCGAGGCACCACTGTACAAGGTTTGGAAATGATTCTTACAAAAGTGATTGATTTTGATTGTTTTACTTTCAGAAGCATTGCCCTATGTCCACGCTCCACAATCCAGAAAGCATGTCATGGTTCTAGAGATTTACACATCTTAATCTGCAGGAGCCCCTTAAAAATAGATCAACAGGGAATAAGCAAACAGCAGGGAGGCAGGAAGAACAGAGTTTGAAGCAAGCGTGGAGTACTGGTACTCACCAACATAGTGTTAATGGCACCCAGCTCTATAATCTCATCTTGCAAGGCTGTGTTGTTCGTGCTCAGTGAGCTGGCCAGCAGCTTCACCACATGCAGGCGGGTATTTCCTAATGGAGGGTCCAGGATTCCCCATGTAGTCTGCAGGGCCTCTTTCTGCCAGAAGAAGAAAGGTGCATAAACCATTTTCTTGAAGTATTAGAACATCATCACAACCCCTTACAGATCACTGCTGGGCTCCACAACAAGAGCATGGAAGCTAAATTACCAAGAAGCCATAGTCCTCCCCCCGCCACCCTCCAGGATATACTACAATCATAGAAATCTCAATACTACATCCCTCCCCCGGTACCTGTCACATAGTGTTCCAACTTGCTTTTTTCTGAAAAACCTCAAATACAAATAAAGTGAAACTGTGCACCCCAGGCCTAAATTCACATGTTCATTCCAACTAGAATAGACTCAGTTAATCAAAGGATACTGAATTAACAAATCACACTAGTTCAATGGGTCTACTCTTAATTGTGTCTAACAGTTGATTTAAGCCTTGGAAAGGTATGTAATGATACAGCTGCCATTTGAGTTGAATTTACGTAGGTTTCTCTTATCGCAGAGGTGGGAAAACCTTGGCCCTCCAGATGTTTGAGACTCTTTAACTCTTATAATCAGTTTTTTTACATGGGTCATGCTGGCTGGGGCTTCTGGAACCTGAAGTCTTAAACACAGCTAGGGACAAAGGTTCCTCACCTATGGCAAAGTGTACCTGTTCCACTCCCTGAATTATGTAACTCCCTCATTGTCATAGATAACAAACCAGCCCTTTCAGCTCATGTTGCTCATTCAGACATATACAAACCTTTGGTGGGTCAAGAAGCAGCCGGTGAAGCTCCCTGAGACGCTGTTTGATGGCAAGCAGAGTGCCCTGACTGGCCTGGCTAGAAGCCACTTCACAGTTGGGCCCAGTTATCTCCATTTGCCCCTCCAGGTTGCAGTAAAAGCCCCCCATGCCACCCAGCTCTGTCCTGAAAGTGAGAGCAAGGGAGACTGATACTAGTAAACATAAAAACCTAAGTATAATTATACCCAAATGACCACCACCTCATTACATCCTAAGGAAATGCAAATCCTTTCAATAAATCATGTGAACTAAATTGCTCATGCCATTTTTTCTGCGTTACTGCTTTTGAATTTGTCTCCTTTTCTTTGTCATAATGCATTTTGCCTTTTAGATTTCATGCTGGGGGGTGTTAAGGAAAAGAAAAGAAAAACCCTTAAATGAAAAGGTTCTTCTTTGCCTTAACCACAAGAACTGCAATGGTTGATACCCAATCTTATTTAGCAAAAGGTAGGAATGCTAGTAATGGGAGACTGTTTCAACTGCGAAGAAGCAAACTTCAAGGCAACCGATCCAAAAACCTTAATCCCCAATGCAATACTACCCAGCTTCCTGGACACTTCACAAGACCTTGACTGCATGCAGGGATGCAAAAGAATTTCAGTGGACTTAAGATTTCTGATGCGTATATCCATTTTATACTGCCCAAGACTCATTGTAACAGAAAACATACTATGCTTTGAAAACCTAAGGTGATCCTAGAAGCCCACTATTGATGGAACTGTGGTATGTTTCAAGGAAAACTAAATATACACAAAGCTTGGCTACATTTCAGAATATACAGAAAAATAAAATCAATGCAGCTGAAAAATGAATTCAAAATGCTTCACTCAATGGAAAAATGTATTAAAAATATGTACATGGTGTAGAGAAAACACGGCTGACCATGAGGGAAAGAAAAAATAAATCTTGAAACTTGACAGTAATAAAAGATGGGAACACAGCATAGGCACATAAAACGGAGCCTGGATGCTCCTCAGTAGTGCATATTTGCATATCTTTGATCTTCTGATCACAACCACGGGGCTACAACATAGTACTTTTTACAAAAGGAAAAAAAATGACTTTCAGGATATAGCACTGTTGCAAATAAAATGCACCTGCTGAGGTTCAAAACATACAATCCTGCTAATCTCTCTTGGCTCTGCATGGTTCCTTCTATTTGCAAGACATCGTACCCTCCCCCCATCTGTCTCCCACACACCTGGGTCTGCGTGGCTCCAACAGAGTCAGCAAAACCTGGATCCCATTGACAATGACGGATTCACTCTGTTCTCCATCCAACATATTGCTTAGCAGCTGCTCAATTGTCTCCTGCCTGGATACAAGAAAGTGGAATTGAAACCCATTATTAAATGGCCATACAATCTCAAACATTTGAGCTCTGATATTTCTGATCCCAGCATACACTTACATTGCTACATGTGCACAGTCCCCAAAAAGAAAGAAGAAAACAAAGTCACAACAAAATACGACTGAATCAGAGATGAACTAAGGCAGTGGTTCTTAACCTTTGTTACTCAGATGCTTTTGAACTGCAACTCCCAGAAACCCCAGTCAGCACAGCTGGTAGTGAAGGCTTCTGGGAGCTGTAGTCCAAAACATCTGAGTAAGAAATGTTAAGAACCAGTGGTTTAGAACACTGGTTCTTAACCTTGGGTTACTCAGGAGTTTTGGACTGCAACTCCCAGAAGCCTTCACTACCAGCTGTGCTGACTGGGGTTTCTGGGAGTTGCAGTTCAAAAGCATCTGAGTAACAAAGGTTAAGAACCACTGAACTAAGGAGTAAAACCAAGGTACTAATTCTAAAACTCTTAAGTAGACATGAATAATCTTTGGTTCTCCGGAAGTACCGTATTTCAGTTCCCAACAGTCGATCTGGCCAACCATGAGACAAGATGAGAGCTACCGGTCAAAATCTAGAGAGCTACAGACTTCCTGGCTCTGCTCTAAAGGTTTCCCGTTCAAGTGCTACCCAGCTGGGAGTAGGAAAAAGGGATGGGGAGAAGGAGAGTCCTTGTCTTGTGCTGCAACCAAGCAAAGATATGGGCTGTAGGCTCCCCTGAGTCCTAGAATGCTGCAGTTTTACAAGTCCCATTAGTAAAACTGAAGACCATAAAAAATAACTCTAAGAAGTTCCATGAGATGTACTCCAAAGAAAGTTCTCAACAATGTTGTCATGCAGTGCTCCTAAGAAGAAAATGTGCTTTTCTAACCCTTGGCACATGATCTGAGCTCCATCTCTGCCTGAAAAAGAGTCCCAAGCTCTACCTCTGGGCTTCCCATATGCATTCTGTTGGCCACTCTGAAAAGGGAAGTAGGACCAAATATGGCAAACTGGGTCAAATATGTCTTTTGCCTGATATTCATTATTTTTCTTGTATTCCTTATCCTCTATTAGAGCTCTAAAAGCACAAACTCTTTTTGTACAAGGGCAGAGCCCTCTAATGGGCATTTGCAGAGATTATTTCACCTCATTTGTCCCTGCAAATATTGCATAACACAGCAACTTGCCCAATCCTAAAGAATTTTCAAACTTTCAAGTTTGAGCCTGAGACCCTAAGTAGTACCCATGTCAGAAGCCTCTAATATCAAACAGTAACACCTGGACCAGAAGCAGGGTTTTGTCAGTTTGGGGAAAGGAGTTTGCACTATAGCATGGGTGATGTGCCACTGAAAAACAAGCAGGGTTTACAAGCAAAGTCAGGGAATTTTATGGAACAGAAATTTTGAGTTTTGATTCAAAGGCTCTTCTCAATTACATGTAAGAAGCAATAATCAATATTTCAATCACAAAATAGCAAGTTCTGCAGTATGAAGCTTGGTTTAAAGTCAACCCCACCTCCTCCAAAATGACCACTGATAACTGAGTATGCAGTCAAAAATTCAAATTTAGTACATTTTGACACATACATTTCTTCTTTTCCAAATCTGTTTCAGTTTTAGAGGGATGGCACTACTTTCTAACCAAAGAGAAGATGTACTCTTTTGTCCCCCTTTTAGCAGTGCTGTCACTGGCTTCGTACTTACTTCTCAAGTGTGGCCAGCAACTGGTCTGGCTCAGGACTGTCCTGGATTTGGATCATCTGCTCACGACTCAGCCGAATGATGTCGCATAAAGATTGTGAAGCATTGGAATGTTGCTGCATGAAAGCAAAGAGAGGGAAAAGCATGAATGTCAACCCCAAAAGACCAGCAGCTTGGCACACTGTGGAGTTAGTATTTCAGCACACATTTCACTCCATGTTTTCATTGTCCACAATGAGCAGCTAACAGGAAGTCCTAAATCCATACTCTCCCACCCCTACCCAGAAAACACACATCAATTTTGCAACTGATGAAAGAGGATTAGACTAGATTTATAACTTACATTGTCATCTTTTGAAGGGTGGATCATTCCAATAAGCCTCTGCACAATCTTTTCCTCATTAAGCCACTTCAGGTTATTAGAGGAAGGGAAAAAGAACATGGATAGTGAGATTAAGCAAGTTACTTTTCACTGGTGTTCAATATGCCCACTGAAACCTGTGTAAGGGTCAGAAGTATTCACATATGCAGTGGTGGTTCATTGGTATCCCAAAAACCTGATACTGATAGTTCATTGGTTGTTCAATGCTGTCTTATAGCTATGGCATTAAATCCTGGACTAGGTCCAGGATCATCCTCATAATGGATGATAATGAAGGAACCAAACTTCTTGAAATGAGGCTACTGTGAAAGAAAGAAATATTACAAACAATTAAGTGAAGCCATATGTCATGTTACTCTGTAGAATGCCTTACAGGTCAGGAATTTCCAGAATAACAAGACTTGGGGAGTATCTTTAGCACAGGGCAGTGTGAACTGGCAGATGGTAGTTCTACAAAAATCAGGTATATTTTTCCACACAGCCTGAGAAACCTTCAGAGATCAGTGAAAATATACAGAGTCCATCTGGAGAGGAAAATAGCTGTTTAACATTGCTCATTCAGACAAGCAAAGGGAATCCATGAAGCTAAAACAAACTAGATGCACATTAAAAAATCAGGTTATATGTAAGGTTTTTAGTAAGTAGCACTCTGAACATTAGAATGAAAATTGTCTTCAGTCAAGACCACTTAACAACAGATTTTTAACCTCCAATTCTTTGATGAAAGAAAGCAAATAACATATAGCAGGAGCGATCAAACTTGGGGGCACTATTTTTGTCCCCATCTCACTACAGATCCAAAAATGGTAATTTCTAGCTTAAACGTTGGGGCCTCTGAGGACCTTCTGCAGGGCCTTGTAAAAAAATAAGTATTGGACAAAATAAAATAAAATCAGGTCCTGGAAGCCCCTCAGGAATCCACACCTATTATTGAGCCTTTCATTCTAAGACTAACAACTTATTTATAGACATGTCACCTCACCATCATTAAGGTCTGACATACAGTGGTGCCTCGCAGAACGAGCGCACCGTAGAGCGATGAATTCGCTCTACGGTGACACTTTTGCGATCGCTAATGCGATCACAGAGCGATGGCCCCAATGGGCGAAAATCGCAGAGCGAAGGTCGGTAAGCGGTTTGCTTAGTTTAGTTTAGTTTAATGCATTCCAATCAGCTGATTTACTCACCGTACAGCGATGTTCGTGTATGGCCGGCAGCCATTTTCGCACCCTCGTTCAGCGAGGGGAAGGCGCGAAAATGGCTGCCGGCCATACACGAACATCGCTGTACGGTGAGTAAATCAGCCGATTGGAACGCCTTAAACTAAGTTTAATGCATTCCAATCAGCTGATTTACTCACCGTACAGCGATGTTCGTGTATGGCCGGCAGCCATTTTCGCACCCTCGTTCAGCGAGGGGAAGGCGCGAAAATGGCTGCCGGCCATACACGAACATCGCTGTACGGTGAGTAAATCAGCCGATTGGAACGCCTTAAACTAAGTTTAATGCATTCCAATGGCTTTTTTCTTTCCGTACAGCGATGTTTCACACAGTGAGGGTTAATCCGGAACGGCTTAACCTCGCTGTGCGAGGCACCACTGTACAATTACATTTCCTCTTTGTTCAAGAAAAAGGAAGAAGGATACATAGAAGGATCCTTACATTGAACACGTCTTGCCTGAGCTGTGGCTGCTCTACGCATGTGAGGAGCCGTAACAGGAGGTCCATGATGGCTGAGGTACCGATGTGGCGTAGCAGCAGGTTGACAAAGTCATCCTTCTTGCGCAGGAAGGCAACTATCTGAAAGACAGCCAAGCAAGTTAGGGGGGGGGGATGAAGGGAGACAAGAAAAAGAAAACACAGTGAAGACTATCCCTCAAGGAAGGAAGCTCTGAAAAGTTCTGTTGACATCATGAATGCTAAACCATGACATATGGTATATACTAGATATCAATCTATGTATAATTGGATTGCACCTTTGAACATGAGTTACACTGGACATTGACAAAAGTTAAGGTTTTGACATTTCATTTGTTGTTCTAGGGATATAAACCGGGGTCCCCAACCCCTGGTCCGTAGCCAGGTGCTGGTCCGCAGGCTTCCTTGAACTGGGCCGCGGCCACGGATCTCTGCCCCCCCCCACGATTGGGTATGTCACGCTTGTGGTGGGGCATGTCATGTTCGTGGGGTGGGTGTGTTGTGCTCGTGGGTGGGTGTGTCACGCTTGCAGGCATGTGCACGAGTGTGACACGCCCACCCTGCAAGCGCGACATGCCCCTCCTCAAGTGGAACATGCCCACTCATGAGTGTGACATGCCCACCTGCGAGTGCAGGGGTGCCCCGCCTCTGCACACAGAGTCCGCACCCCCCCAACTGGTCTGCGGTCCAGGTTGGGGACCGTTGATATAAACAATACTAAATTGTTCTTATTGATTTGGCTGTCTTGACTCAACAAGGTCCCTCAACAAGAAATTTTCAAGCCTGGTGAGGTTCCTTACCTCCAGTTAAGAGTAAGACAATGGCTGAAATCCTGCTGCTGTGATGTGCAGTGACAAATCACTGCTGATTAAAGGCTTCCTTTCCTGATTTTGAGGTGCAAGAGGTTTTGCCACCCTGTATATAAGCCATGCGTACCCTTGCAATCACCAAAGGAAGGCTTTCATCAGCAATGATTGGCCCCTGTTGATGATGCCACTCCTGCATGCAGAGCTGTGCAACAGGATTTCAGGTAAGGAGTACTTCTTTTTGTATATGTGTCCATATATTTCACAAATCATCTTTCCAAAAAGTAGTGCCATTTCTTACTGAGACACACCACTCAAGCATAAGGATTGTTTTAAAAGGCTCACACATGTGGAAAAACTCCTCTAAATCTTCTATTCCTTCCTCAATCTATGCTATGTGTATCAAAGATTTAAAGTGTTATTTGTGTAGCTGTACACCTACGAGGATGAATCACAGGAGAATTTACATCCTTAGCGGTGCAGTGATTAGAATGTCTGACTGGGCCCCAGGAAAGCCAGTCTGTACTTCCCACTCATTCATGAAGCACACTGGGTAGATCTGGATGTTACTTGTGGCACTGAGTGGCTGCAAGTTAGGGAGTCAATGTAGACATCATTTATTGCTTACCAAGTCACAAGGACAACAAATAATATTTACATTTATTTGTAGCTTGTAACATTTTGCCATCAAAAATAACATTACTTTAAATCTCAATAGGATTTGCACTATCACCACCTCTTCCACTTCTCGACATCTTCTAAAAAAATACCAACAAAGTATTTTACAATAAGAACACTGAGAAAATAAAAAGGGACCAATATGATGTATGTTACTTTTTTTCTGGGAGCTCACTACAGTGCGGTCTTGACTTAAGAACCACTCTCATAGGAAAATATTGACTTGACTTAAGTACTTAGATTTGAGTTAGGAACTGAAAAAAAACCACGTGGGAGGCAGGGAAAGTGCAAAAAGTGAACTTTCAGTTAACTGTTGGCCAGTGAAAAGGGTGCCTGTCTGCTTCCTCACTCCTCCCAGCGTTTAGAGAGTGGATTGGGAGACAGTCTTCAGACTGCCTGGTACTGTACTGCCTGGACTGTATTTTCCCTGCTTTCCCTGAACCTTTCTTGACCTAAGAAAAAAAAAGAAACAAAATATCCCCCTCTAGTGGTCGAAGGTGGAATAGCAGCTTCCCATTAGTTTCTATGGACGGAAAAGAGCAGATACAGATCAAATGGTTTTCAATGCATTCCTATGGGAAATGCAGATTTGACCTGAGAACCTTTTGACTTGAGAACCGCCTTCCAATACCGATTAAGTTCTCAAGTCAAGACCCCACTGTAATTCAATAATGTGCTTGCTTTTGATATGGTAAAACACAGTTTCACATGATTTAAAACAATGTTATTTCAAGGTATGTTTTTATGAGGAACCTAGCATTTGACTCAGAAAAAATGCTCAAGAGCCAAATGGTTCTCTCATGTGGTCTATATTAAGTGCTGTCATAAGAGGGCGCTCTTGTAAGAAGACGCAACAAAACACATTTGTTAGAAGTTCAGCTTTTAGGGATCTGCAGGTGACTCCAAGAGCCAGCATAAGCTTATTAGGAAGCAGCTGACAGGGGTGGTTTTGAGCTCCAAATTAACTATTTAAAAGGATGGGTCATTTGAACGGCAACTGGGATAGTGCCCAATTGGAATGAAGCTTTCTTTGGCAAACCAAACATGTTACCTGATCAGTCTTGCGGTTGATAAGAATCCCCATGACCTTGCTGAAGAAGCTGGCCAGCAGTGGGTTGAGGATACCGCTGGTCTGAAGGAAACTGTAGAGTCGTCGTAGGAGAGACTCGTCCTCACCCAAAGCGTCGTTTATCTGTGTGACGTCTGATGTTAGGATCTCACAAGACACACTTGGATACCTAGGGGAGACAGCACATTTAAAAAGCTGACACACAACTCCTCATGTGCAGGTTTTACTTCCACTCTTTTGATGGAAAGTTGTGTAGCCAATTTGGGCAGTATATGCTGCTCACCTGCCTTGAAAGATATGTTGGAATCTGCATTGTAAGAGGTACATAACAATGCTTGAAGTGGGTGTTGTCTGGTCACCTTTATGACAAATACAGTTATGTGGAAAAAGAATCCTAAACTTTGCTCAGTGAGAATCTGAACCTATAACCTGTATATAAATTAGGTAAACTGGGAGACGTTGTTTACTCTGCACAATTAATAGTATTACCTACGGTCAGGGGGAGGAGCAGGATATGGTCGGATCACTAAATCCCCCACCAACAGGCCACTGCAATTGATTGACCGACCGACCGTCCCTCCCTCCCTCCCTCCCTCTCCCCTTTCTTTCTTTCTTGGCTTTGCAGTTTCAGGAGGTAGTGGCCAAATTATTTCAAGATCAGTCATTGCCTGATCTACCTTTCAAGGTTATTGTGACGTCTAAATGGGGACAAGAAGAGCCATGTATGCTAATTTGAGCTAGTTTTCCCCCTTTTTCGGCAGGGTAGATAAAAACTTGCTTTGTGTTTAGCTGTTTTTAAAATCAAAACAGATTTTTAGCTGTCAAAAGCCAATGATATATAGATAGCTTTGCTATCAAATCAGTGGGTCTGCTTATATAACTACCATCATTTCTGGTGTTGAGCAGTGGTTGGTTCCTGCTCAATCCCAAGACTAACAGCAAAAACAGGGGCAGCATAAAATGAATGAAAGGAATGGCTGACAGCTTTCAACACAAGACAGCACAAGATACATAATTTTTTTAAAATAATGGGACATGACCATTATTTTTTGTGATAGTATGCCAACAGAATTTCAACATGTCAATGTATTCACGGTCAAGCAGTATTTCAGTAAAACCATTTTGCTTTCTAGCACGCTCAATCAAGTTCTCAGAGCAGGATGAGGAAGACAGTTCTGACACCATTGCAGGCAACTGCCATGAACCTCTTCAGAAGCTTTGCCTCACTCAAAGCTGCTGAGCGGGAACCCTAAGCAGGCTCTCGCCACTCCATAATACTGGGGTTCCTACTAATTAGTCAGGCTTCTCAGAGGCCAAACTGCAACTCTTTAGGACCGCTTCTTCATAATCTTGAACGCCAAGCACAGCATTCTTGAGTTCTTTGTTTTGCTGGTGCTTCATACTACATCTAGTCAGTTTAATCAAAGGAATCTCTAGCTCAACTAACTCCAAAGATGCCAAATAAGCCGCGATCTTTGGAAAGGAAGGTTATTGTGCAGATGTGCTGCAGGCGGATGGTGTTGAATTTCTGTCTCTTGCAACATTTGCCAAAATTAGAGCCTGGGTTTCATTCAAAAACAGTGCAAAGTTTATGTGGGTTTTTTAAAAATTACTTTCACTATCTTCCCTAAAGCGTAAAAAGGTTTTTAAAAGCACCACTTACTTGTAGCGCACTCTCTCATCCACATCTCCAGGAGGCTCCTCTGTTACACAGGTTACCAATGCTTCCATGTGTTCGGGCTGCACCAGGAAGTCAACCAGCTTTCGATTGACCACCTTGCACTCCTGCAACACATCCTCCTCATCCAGAAGCTCAAAGAGGGTCACGTTGCCACGTTCTAGGAGGGTATCAATATGAGAGGTCGTGTGGAGATCAAACTTCCAGAACATGGCTTGCTGTGGGAAATGGATTGAGAGAGAGAGAGAGAAAAGTGCAGGTCACATCTCTGCCTGTATCACAACTATTACAAAGATACTTCCACTTGAAAATAAAGTGGTGTAAGGCCCAAAAGCAAAGTGAGCCTGTAAAATACAGTTAAGAGAATAGGCCACTATTGTGGAATACGCAAGAGAACTGTAAAAAGAACAGGATGGCTTGGGGAGTTCACGGACAAAGATCACAGATCTTACTACAGAAAGATTCGACACATGAAGCAAGACACATCTGATGCAGCTGTCATGTCTTAGTATGAGCCATATGGGTCATGGTGCAAAGGATCCAGCAGGACTATTTCAGGGTGACAAGAGCTTCTAGATCAACCTTCCAAATCTGATGCTGAGGTATCAATAAAACATCACAAAACTAGACATTTGCTATATTGGAATGCAATCCACAGATAGAAGCAAAGGAAAGACAAAGACCAAAAAGTGGACAAAATACTCAACAGATTTCTCAAAACTAAAGAGCAAGTTATCAAGGACAGACAAATGACAGATGCACCACTGAGACCTAGAATTAAGCCGTGTATGTTCAATTCCCCAAAGTATCCCCAAAGGAGTGGCAGGTGGGAAGGGACTTGAATGCTAAATTGTCTAGTAAGGACATAGTAGATGAATGAGGAGATATGGAAAACTGCTGAATTCAGTTACCACTCCAAACAAAGGTGAACATTATGGAGATAAAGGAAGTTCTCCACACTGCACATATTAAACTACGGAATCCACCATTAAACTGAAAAATTACAAAAAGACTTTCTAATTTCAATTACAGCAGACTAAGCACACTGATCTATACTAACTAGCTTCTCACACCTGTTGGATTTCTGCATGTTTCTGCTTCAGTGTGCTGCCATTTTGCATCTTCCATGTAAGAGTAAACCGAGGTCCTCCTCAAGCAGGCAGAGGCACATGTGGACAAGGTCATTAATCTCATACTGGTAGTAAAATAAATAAATAAATCAAGCTATCTCTGCCTTTTTGGAACGAGTTGCACATATGACATATGAACAAAGCAGCTACTATTGGAGCAGGAAGGATGCCTTCATTCCCTCTTAGTGAAAGTCGAACAACAGGAGGCATTCAGTCAACCTAGATCTTTGCTGGTAGTGAAGAAAGCACCATCTCTTCCAGATCTAGTTTCCCCTGAAACTTGGCTCTGGCTCACAGTTGAAGAATCATTGCTTTAGCCTTTCATAACTAGAAATATGACTGAATATTTAAAGAGGCGCAGACAGGCCAGTTTTCCCTCACCTTTTCACTGTAGGCCTGTGGTCAAATTTGGATTGTCAGCTATATTAGTAACCACAAGGGTGGCAGTCATTGTGGATTAAACAACATGGGAGAACAACAGCATGATTTCATGTGTGCCCAGCACAGGCTTGCTTTTGTCTGTGAAACAGAAGAAGAGGAATTCACTCCAGTGAAATACAAAAGGAATCGGTCCCTGAGTGTATGCTTTTGTGTTCTTTTCTTGTATAACATTAAGAAAACCTTGGTGAGCACGATGGCTCATTGCTCAGAAGTGCTTACAAATTTCCCCATGTACAGCTACAATTCAAAGTGGCAAAAGGATTCTCTTATAGGACTTGCCAAGAGAGGGAAAAACCTGGACAGAAACAAATAGTAACTTGGTGACGCCCTGCTTCCCTTTTCAGCCCCGTTGCCACCACAACTGCAAAGGCCAAAAGTTTTCACCCGGTTTCCAAGCAACCTCTACACAAGGCTTTTGCAACAGAGCAGTGCAGGCTTCTTGGCTGTGACCACAGGCCTCAGATCAACTCTAGAAAGATTGGTGTTCAACAGAGGCTGCCAACAAGCAAAGGCGGGAATGGGGGAGGGGAGCAAAGAGAAAAGGTGAAGACAAGATCGTAAGTTTGGCTCTTCTTTTTACAGTGTCTATGCTCACAAGTTTACAAACTTGTTCTCTCTCATATATCTAGGCTGCAAACGGCATTACAATCTGTAACTTTTAAACCTTGCACAAACCCAGGGAGATTAAGTTTTTTATTTAAAACATTTTATCTAATCGCTTTAATTAAAAACAATAACTAAAAGTCACAGGGCACCATAGATTACTACTTTTGAAAACTCAGCATAACAACATGTTGGGTTTTTAAAAATTGTAATTCATTGTGTCCTGCAACTTTTTGTTATTGTTTTCTAAAGTGAATATATAATTGTTTTAAATGAGCAATTTAACCTTTCAGGGTTCGTGGGTGGATAAAAAGACTATAATGAGTCTAAACATGTGCAAGAAAATAGCTTATAAACTGGTGAGCAAAGCCTGGCTGGATAGCTCAGTAGCCTAGGTATCCATCTACAGAGCTAGAGGTTGGACATGCAATCCTGCACCAGGTATCCCAAGAGAAAAGTCACCTTGTATAGCTTTTGTATAACTCTTGAGAGTCCCTTGGACCAGTGGTCCCCAACCTTGGGCCTCCAGATGTTCTTGGACCAACTCCCAGAAATCCTGGCGAGCAGAGGCGGTCGTGAAGGCTTCTGGGAGTTGTAGTCCAAGAACATCTGGAGGCCCAAAGTTGGGGACCACTGCCCTGGACAAGGAGATCAAACCTATCCATTATGAAAGATATGCTCACTGGAAGGGCAGATCTTGAAGCTGAGGCTTCAATACTTTGGCCATCTCAGGAGAAGAAAAATCACCCTGGAAAAGACCCTGATGTTGAGAAAGAGTGAAGGCTAGAGAAGAAGGGGATGGCAGAAGACGAGATGGTTACACAGTGTCATTGAAGCCACCAACATTAATTTGACCAAACTCTGGGAGGCAGTGGAAAACAAGAGGGCCTGGCGTGCTCTGGTCCATGGAGTCACGAAGAGTCGGACACAACTTAACAACTAAATAACAAATAGCTTTGTGCAATTTGCACAGTCCCAGGGCACCCCACAAGAAGTGAATGATGAACCACCTCTGAGACTGCATGCCTAGAAAATCCTGAAAAGGGGTTGTCATAAATTGGAACTGGCTCGATGGTATGTAATTATTAATATAACAATATGCATATACCAACTGATCAGGTGATCAAATCATAGTTAAAAGAAAGATATTTAAAGATACATAGGAACAGGGTGGTTAATAATCAATTATTCTTTTTTTAATAACTTGATTTAATCACAATTTAAAGTAAAAAAAATAAAAATTCAAATAGTCAAAAAAAAATTTTTTTTAAATTTTAGTTGTGAAATCAAATCCACCCTGCATAGGAAGGTACTTTTTAAAAGCTGTTAGGACAGGGATAGGCCCATGTACAATATATTCCCCATTTGGTGAATAAGACAGAAAAATGGCTACACTGGAATTTAGTTCTGAACTGTTATGCACAGAAATGAGCTGCATACTTGGTATAGACAAGTCCAAATCTCTAAGCATTATGCTTAGTCCTGCCCACTCTGCTTTGGCCTTACCTTGGCCATTGCTAGAATGTGCTCTCCTGCAAGCCAGGTTTTTTTCCTGACATGGTATTAGGCCAAGGCACAGTTCAGTTGCCAACTTAATGGTCAATAAGGCATTTAACACCAAGCCTTGTGCTCAACATTCCCTCTAAGCTGCGTAGCTGTGCACCTGCAGCCAGTGTTGCTGCCCATCTGGCTCCAATTGTGGTCGGATCACCATGCATGCAGAGCACGGTCCCCACCAAGAGCTGGTAGAAAATTACAGGGAATGACATGCCCTGAAACAAGCTGGACGTGAAATCCTATTTCAAAACACAGGAGTACTGGAGAACACCATTATGTTAGCCTACACAGGGAAGCCAATGAAATCCACAAACATCAGCAAAGCTTCAACAAAAAAGAAGAAAGTCTGAAACTCAACAAAGCCTCGCTCCCAGCACTGAAAAATACAGCCTGCAAAAAGGTCAACAAACTCTACACAGCCACAAGGACCGGTGATCACTGCACACAAAAGACTAGCTAATAGCACCCATTAATCACAGTGACACAGCATCTCCCCGCTTATCACAACAATACACTTATAACAAAAACCAAAAACAAAACAAAACACCATGATCACCATAATCACTCAATCTCCTCAAAAAGACAAAAAGCTGATCCCACAGCTACAAATACTCAACTATCCCACACACTACACCAGAACACAGACAGAGTTCTAACTCCTGTCCTCTGAAGATGCCGGCCACAGAGACTGGCAAAACGTTAGGAAGAAAAACCTCCAGAACACGGCCAAACAGCCCGAAAAACCTACAACCACCATTGGATCCTGGCCGTGAAAGTCTTTGAGAATACAATTACAGGGAACGTTACTTATGCTCAACCAATGTTCCCTCTAAGTTGTGTGGCTGCACAGCCATGCAGCGCTCGATCAGAGCCAGAGTTGCTGCCCCTTTGCTTCTGGTCACAGCTGGCACCCCCACCCCACAGTAGTGGAAAATTAGATGGAACATTGAGTTCAACTCTTATTCTACCCATTGTACCATCTTGGCTCTCAACTGCATTCAAAACACACAGGGCTGATTGTGGCACATGAAATTACACAGTCTCTTACTACAATTATGTTTCCTTTCTAGAAGGCAAAGTTCTCACTAAGATCAGAACTTGGAGGCAGACAGCTATAACCACCCTGCTCTGCTTGTGGGTTTATCAGTTAGAATCATTAGCAGAACTTTAGTGATCCTTATTCCAATCTATTTGACTCCAGATTTTTATTGATGAATTCCATCCCCTATCATGAAATTATTCAGGCACTGTTTTCAAAGAGAGAGAGAGAGATTCTCTCTCTCGCTCTCTCCCTTGATAATGTATCAAAGAAGAGATTTGCCTTCTTAATTCCTTCTTTATTACAGCACTGCTTGGAAAAAGGTATCCTTTTCAAAAATCATATCTTTGTGAAAAAACTTAATAGTTTAAGAAAATCCCCAATGATTTTCAAAAGAAATCCTCCTCTAAGTCAAGGCCGTATAATGAGAGAGTTGAATGGAAAAGCA